AAGGAGGAGGAGGAGGAGGAGGAGGAGGAGGAGGAGGAGAAGAAGAAGAAGAAGAAGAAGAAGAAGAAGAAGAAGAAGAAGAAGAAGAAGAAGAAGAAGAAGAAGAAGAAGAAGACTAGACCACATTTTCTGTTCTTGTCTTGCATAATAGTGACCCAAATCCCATTCTGTAGTTACGCTAGCAGAAGGGAAATGGACTAAATTGCAGCAGCAGCATGCTTAGATTTCTCAGTGCATGCCAGTCAGGCAGTTTGATACACAACCAGGAATTCAAGCAGAGAGATATTCGTTATGGGCAGTTTGCTTCTGCAAATAACACTATCTCCCTTGGTGTAACTACTCAACAGGATTTGGCTATTGTTTAACATTTTCCAGTTTGTAATTCCACTGATTGCTGATTGAAATGTATTTAATACCACTGATGCAACCAGAACTAATCATGTAAAGAAGAAAGCTATGATTTTAGGCAGAATTTTAATTTTAACAACTACAGCTCATCTGTGCAAGAAGGAGGTAACATTCTTGTTGCTTTTTGATACTCATGGGATCAAGTGTTCGCTGGGTAAATAATGAGAAAGCTATACCTGTTTGTTCCTTCTGTGCCCTGTATAAATATTTTTTTGACACTTGCTTTGATTTTTAACTTTCCACTTAAGGATTGGTTAATAGTGTAGCTGGCTAGTCTGGGTACTTTTTTCTTGAAACTGCATCGAGTTTCCTCGAGTTTTCAAGTTTGAGGGCTATGCCACCAAGTTTTCTTTCAGAGGAACTGATTAAAGTAGGGCTGGGAGGGACAACGGCACTCTTCAGCTAGTCATCACAGGGGATTACACACACCCCCCAAAAAAACCTTCCATGTGTGGGCCTAGTCTTAGGGCTCTGCCTCACAAATGCTATAGGAAAACTTGTAATTAACTGTAACCTGAAGCTAATTGCTGAGAAGTATCATTTGCAATTTCCACTGAAAATAGAGACCGATAGATGGCAGTGTGCTCTTAAATATTTGGGATTTGAGGCACATGTCCTAAGGAGACAGACAAAAATACAGTCTGTTAAACTCAGGGACCATGCTGGTTGGATAGGTGTGAGTTAAGAATCTGGCTGCAGAGCCTGAGGTTGGGCCTCCTATGAACAGAGCCAGCCCTTGCGATGTATTTGTTACACACAAATTATGGCAATTGTCTTATAAATTAAAAAAAGCAGATGTCACTTTGGAAATTATAAAAGTGTAGTCCAGCATACTAGAACACTGTCTATTCTTTGTTTTGATGTATCACAGGTCAAAATGCCTGATGTAGAATTTTTTGTCAATTTGGGAGATTGGCCTTTGGAGAAAAAGAAATCTTCTCAGAACATCCATCCCATATTCTCATGGTGCGGATCCAATGATTCAAAAGACATTGTAATGCCAACTTATGATCTAACTGACTCTGTACTAGAAACAATGGGGCGGTAAGGATTTCTATAACATTTTAAGGCATGTTTCTTACTGATTCATTTCTGATGGGGTTAATAATGATTACAGTGGTGCCCCACTACACGACGATCTCGCAGAATGACGAAACCGCAGGACGGTGACTTTTTTGCAATTGCTATAGCGATCGCAAAACGATGTTTCCAATGGGGTTTTTCATCTGGATGTGGAATAGGTCCGTGCTTCGTGAACCATTTGTTCGCAATACGATGATTTTTCCAACATCGCAAAATGGCTTCCCGCTGTTTTCCAACCCATGTGTTGGAAGACAGCCATTAAAAACAGCTGATCGGCGCTCAGAAAATGGCTTCCCTGTGGAGGATCTTCGCTGGATGATGAGGTAATTCCCCCATTGGAACGCATTAACCGGTTTTCAATGCATTCCAATGGGGATTTTTTTTTTTTGCATGACGATGATTTCCCTGTACAGCGATTTCAGTGGAACAAATTATCGTCATCATGTGGGGCACCACTGTACAAGCTGTTACATCTCTACATAGAAAATGGGAAGCTGGAAGCAGGAAGAGTTGAAGAGGAGGGGAGGGGAGGTGGGAAGAAAGGAGATAAGCTGAGAAGATTATATCCTTTGTAGGCAAAAGAAATAATGAACTGAATAAATCAGAGTACATCAGTGTGCTATAAATTACTCAATTTCTAAACTACTTTTTCCAAAACCAAATATTTAATTAATTCAAAATAATTTCACAGAAACTGAAAAAAACAAAGGACCTATACTTTGCAGTGTTCTCAAAGGCTTTCATGGCCAGGATCCAATGGTTGTTGTGGGGTTTTGGGGCTGTTTGGCTGTGTTCTGGAACCCACAACAACAATCTATACTTACTCTGTGTTCTCTAAGAGCAGACCCCTCTGGTGACTTCTTCCTCTCAGAGGTAAAATGGAAAAAGGCAGACTCGGCCCTACCATTTTGTGGGGAAGTTGCCATGTGTGTTCTTCAGAGCCCTCCCCTCCCTAAATTGACTTTATAACTTCAGGAGAGCTAACCATTGTCAAAGTAAGTTTCCACTGCCTTGTTGGGTCATCTTCTATATGTGCAAAGGGGGCTGCATTTTGTCCTTTGTCTCAGGCAGTAATCTCTTGGCGCAGTTCTAACAAAGGAGTGACCCCCACAGGTCTTAAGGAAGAGAAGTATGTCACAGTAAACTAGGTTGCATACCGTTTGCTGCTATTCTTCCTAGGGTCTGTTTCTGTAAAAAAAAAAAGGTAGCAAAGGATTCCCACTGCCTTCCTTCCTGATAGTCCCTTCTGCCTTTCTGGCACAGGAATCACTTTCCTACACTCATTAGTCCAATTTCTTCCAATAGAGTCAGTCTGGACATGATGTCTGTTCAAGCAAACACTGGTCCACCCTGGGAAGAGAAGAACAGCACAGCCATATGGAGGGGTCGGGACAGTCGTAAAGAGAGGCTCGAGCTTGTGAAAATGAGCAGAAAATATCCTGAGATCATTGACGCAGCGTTTACGAACTTCTTCTTTTTCAAGCACGATGAAAGTCTCTATGGCCCCATTGTGAAGCATATTTCCTTTTTTGATTTCTTCAAGGTAGGATTGTATAAAAGTGACTACATTTAGATGAAATTTATAGAACACATTCAATCCACATGTTGGCAGCTGTCCCAAGTCACAGGGCTAACTCTATAATATCAAAGATAAAAGCATTTCTAATTTTTTTCACTTAGGTAATTACCTAGTTTGTACCCTAAGAGTGTACGTGGACCACACATTTTCTTTTGAAAATTGAAGGTAGCATAATAAAGCTGTTCTTACTTGTGGTACTGCAGTATCTGACCTACTGTGGTATTTCATCATCTCAAGAAAATCTTAAGAGATATTTTTGATTCCTTCCTTCTGTTAATTGGTGAAAAAAAGGATAATATAAAAATTGTTGCCTAACTACATTCTAATGTCAGCAGGTAATGGAAAGAGTTTTTATGTTTATATGACCTCCATCTCAAAGGGATATTATAACCAGGTCCGAGACTTTGTTAATTGAATCAAGTAGGGGTGAACATGTTCTTAGGGCAGACAAGGACCAACATTCATTTTAGTTGAAAGGTTGGGGACCCCCACTACTTTAGAAACAAAAACAAAAAATACAACAACCCATTAAAAATCAGTGGCGCAGCTTGAGGAGTTGAATTCATAGAACATGATGTCCATATTGAGTGGATGTTTTTTTTTCCCCCACACATTTCAGTGGTTACGAGCTCATACATTAGCATCACAAAATTACAGCTTTGTGATTCTTGGGTGCCTGAACAGTCCCTAACCATCAAGAGCTGTAAGAGGGAAGAAGAACTCAGAAGTCATATTCCAAGAAGTAAAAACATAATGTAATGATTTCTCTATCTAATTAAGGCTCAGTGAAGCTCAGAAGTCATATTCCAAGAAGTACAGTAAATACATAATGTAATTATTTCTCTATCTAATTAAGGCTCAGTGAAGGCAAGGAGCAGGTAATTTAAGCAAAAGCAAAATCTATGAATAGTTACTAATATATAACACCATGAAACATAGAATTGTGTCACTTTTTTGTGCCTTTTTTTAAAATTAGGGAGTCACAAACATTCTTTGGCATACAGCCTGAAAAATAACATTACATATATCCTCCTCTTAAAGCTCATGGTTGGTTCTAATATAATTAATACCATTCCTTTGGTGGAGAGTCACATAAAAGCATAATCAGTTGGCAATCTAAGCTGAGGCATAACATTTGTATTGGTGTTATAGTTTGTTAGCCCAATCACAGGCGGTTTCTGTACCACTTCTACCAGTACCTAGTGGTGTCTGGTGCAGAAATATTCCAGATCATTAGCTTGGCTAATGCTGTAATTCTAATACGTTATAACATGAAGCACCGTAACATGAAAGTAATTGGCCTTCGTGTGAAAAAGGTTAATGTCTCTTCTCCTCCAGCTAAACTCTTTACAAACCATAATTATGAACAGAAGCAAGGTTTCTAAAACTAAAGTTTTACAGTTACATATAACAATTTTCTTTCTTTTCTGAAAGCTTAATGAGTAATTCATGAGGTTGGTGTTGTAAGAATTAAGTCTAGAGATGGGGGTATTCATATTCAAATACAAATATCCCTGCGCAGCTGGACTTAAAGGATCGTCCACTCGCACGTCTTGGCGGTGGCGGCAGTGGCCCTCCTAGTCCTTCCAATTGCGCCCAGCATGATGCTCTCTTCCCGCTCAGCTGGCCACTCGGCAGCCATATAGGGAGACTCGTTCTCCCTTCCCTTGCCCGGACTGAAGGATCATAACCTCAAAGATACAGACATCTACAGCTTGTCTATATAACGTTCTGTCTCTTTTCTTTCTTTTTTCTTTTTCTTTTCTTTTCTTTTCTTTTCTTTCTTCTTCTTCTTTTTTTTTTTGAGCTTTCCATTGGCATTTGGTTGGCTATTGTGAGATTAAAACAGTGGGCAAGATGGGAATTTGGCCTGATAGTTAGAGCACAGTTCTTGTGTTGGCTAGATTGGCTAAGACCTCCTATTGAGTGTACATCTTGTAACAAATGCAGATTAGTTGTCAAGTACTGTGTGCAATGGTCCAAAGATAACCTGAAATCTTGGCTCCACGTATTTTGTAGGTACTAGGGGTCGGGGGACCCCCATAACAGTGTTTAGGAAGACTAGCAGCTGCCAAAATGGGAAGGAAAGAAGAGAACCAAAACTGAAGGTGGTTAGAAGTTCACTCCCAGTATTGAGAAATTGGTATTTTGGATGTGTTAAAATGGTGTGTGGGGTCATGTGACCTGTTTGAAAGGTGTATTGCCAGTCCCACAACCTTCTAGAAGTAGCAGTTCACCTTTTTTGACAGAAAAAGAAGGGAGCAGGGGAAAGCTGGAAGCTGTATTAATATGTGCATTAATTATGTGTTGTGTGTTTTTCACCTTTTTTTGACAGAAAAAGAAGGGAGGAGGGGAAAGCTGGAAGCTGTACAAACACTCAGGGGAGCACATTTTGCCCTTGGCTGGACTATGAATTATATGTGCATTAATTATGTGTTGTGTGTTTTTCAGTATAAGTATCAAATTAATATTGATGGCACCGTGGCTGCATACAGGCTGCCCTATCTGCTAGCAGGAAACAGCGTAGTGCTAAAGCAGGATTCCATCTACTATGAGCATTTTTATAATGAGCTACAACCTTGGAAACACTACATTCCATTTAAAAGCGACCTAAGTGACCTCTTAGAAAAACTCCAGTGGGCAAAAGACCATAACGAAGAGGTAAATATGTGCAATTTTGATTCAGTTTTGATTCTTGTTGGAAGCACATAATTGGAATTTCCTGTTTGGTTTGAGACAAGTGCAAGTAGATGTGCGGATGGAAAGTTCAATTTCTTAATCCTCCCCATTTTTTTTCCTCTGTGGCAGGCAAAAAATATTGCAAAAACAGGACAGGAATTTGCAAGGAATAACCTGATGGGGGACCATATATTCTGTTATTACTTCAGACTTTTCCAGGTCAGTCTCTTTTTGCTAACTTGAATGAAATCTAATCTGTTTGTGCTAATAGGGTCACTGAGGATTGTAGCAGCTGTATGAAAACTTTTTTTAGCATTTTCTGTTGCACAGGGTCCATAGTTCTGTGGTATTTTATCTCCCAGCATGCAGTTTGCCACTTTCTTTAAAAAATCCCTTACATTCACCTATTGGAATGAATGGAAAAGTGAAAACTGTTGATATCCATTCTATTCTTCCAGCAGCTTCTCAAAATGAGGCAGGGTTAAAAACTGTGCAGGGTAGCTTCCACAGAGATAAGGTAATTCGTGATTTGTGTCTTTTCTCTAGGCACATGTCCAGGACCAACCCTTCCATGAGGCAGGGTCAAGTCCTCACCTCAGGCAAGAGTAGCAGGGTAGCAAACACTGGGTTTCCACTGCTTACCAACTACTACCTATAAAGGGGACTCGTGATCTGGAGTCTTGTTGGTGTGGCACTCTTTGTGGCACACCTCATCCTGAGGCATCTGGAAAGCATACCAAGGACAAAAGTTCTCCTCAGAGCAAGGCACTGTGCGTAAGACAAGCAGCTTGTGCATAATATCTTACTCTAAGGAGAGACCCTCCTGTCTCAGGTGAATGGATATATTTTATCACTCGCACATATTTCACATCCCTCTTAGCCCTGACACAGCAAGTAAGAGAGCTTCATAGTGCTACAGGTGTTCTTCCTGCATATCTTTTTGGCTTGAGTTATAGCCAACATCCGGAGCTGGAGTCCCGAAGGCAGTTCGTGTTGTTCTGCCAACTCCTGTGACATTGCTGGAACCAGTTGTATTGGCTCTTGCCTTTCCATTGGACCATTTCAGCAATGTGGAGAGGGGGGATCTGCTGCTTGGGTAACAGCCTATCCTCCATATTACCTTACCCGGGCTTCATGCTCTGGAGAGGACACTCCTTGATTCAGAGCATGTTACCATAGTCTCTCGAGACTGAAGGATGCCTATGTAATGTATAGCCAACAAACCAGCTGTCTTCAGAGAAACTAAGAAAAGCTTTGCTGGGACAAAAGTCAGAAATTGAAATGAATTTAGTGGCACACACACCAAAAAACAATATCAAAATAATTAAAACTAATTTTAAAAAACTAAGGCAAAATAAAGCAGTACAGTTTCCTATGACAGTGAGGGCAAAGTATGCCCTTTGTTGCTTTATGCTGATCCTGTCACATTCACTGGTAGAGAAAGGCATGCCTATACAGGTGACAACAATTTATTCACTTACAAGAATTTATTGGTCAGCATCTTCTTGCAAAACTTCACCAGTGCAGGAGGGATGACTTTACTAGGAGCAGCCAGCTGCTAATTAAATAGATCATTTTCCAGTTTGGGGCTGCATGTGACTTCCATGCAATACAGTGAAGTCACATGCATCCCAAAATGTAAAAAAGGGAAAACTTTCATTAATGACAGTATACGACTGCACTACAAGATGATACTAGCCATTCATTCAATTTATATCCTTTGTTTCTTCCAAGAGGCTTATGGTAACGGAAATGGTTGATTCATTTTTATATATATATGCAGTCACAACAACTGTATGACAGTCCAGGCAGAGAGGTGTAGGATCGTCTGCAAATACCTGCCATACTGATACTTATTGTGGTACTCTGTAAATAAGGGTCAGAATAGCAGCTGTATTCATTGTTTTTTCCCTTCATAGTATAAAGATGGCTTCACATTAGCCAGTTCTAGTTTTGTTACATATATGACTCTTGTGATGATACAGCACAATATTCTTTGCTTGTGACATCACAAAGCAGTTAGTTCACATTAAAAGGCAGGCTTTACAACCCTATGCCTTTTGGTGATTTAGCAATCAAGATGAGCAAGGAAAGACAGTGGGAAGAGTCATCTAAAAGTCAAGTTGGTGTTTTGCTAGAGATGCCTTCCCCAGCTCGAATTCTAAGGTAGAAGGGCATGCTCCTCCAAACAGCAGTCAGCTAACATCAAAGAAAACAGCTTCAGAAAGCCCCTCCCAAAACACAGCTGAAAATGTGTGTGCATTAACGCGGAGATATTGATATTTCAGCAAGTCACCAGATGGGTCCCGTGTCAGCTTACAGTTCTTATGATACCAAATCTCATGTTCTCCAGGAGGGTTCTTGGAGCAAGGGGCAATGTGCTGGCTACAGATTTATCACGAGACTGTTGAAGCTGAGTGAGCAGGATAAAAGCACCTTTTATTTATTTTTTTAAAATTAGGAATATGCCAGACTGCAAGTGAGTGACCCTGAAGTTAGAGATGGCATGGAGAAAGTGGAACAGCCTGAGGATGACCTCTTTCCCTGTAGTTGCCACCAAAGAAAGGTACAGTATGTGCAAATTAACATGTTTAGGAACTGGTGAGAGAGCTATTATATAGTACTGAGAACAATGTATGCTTCACATAGATTCTAACTTGCAGAATACTAATTTTGTTATTTATACCAAACTGAAATTTGTTGCTTCTTTCCCACTTATTAAGAAGGGAAAGGGAGAGATTCTCTGATAATAAAAAACTATTACCAGTGTTTTGAAGTGGGCTCCATCCTGTCAAGTCAATAAGCTAGCTGGAAAATTCATGAATTGCAGGTTGAAGCACAGGTTGAAAAAGAGAGCATGGGGGCAGGGGGAGAGACTTGAGTCTAAACTCCTTTTTAAAGCCTGCTTGCCTGCCTGCATCTACAACCACGACAGCCCATCACAGAATATTTTCTGATTTTAAAACAGACTTTAGAGCCACATTTTAACCACACACATTTTCAAACTAAAATCCACACTGCAAGACCCATCAGAGCACAGAAACATAACCCCCCACCTAGCCCTACCCCCCACCAAGCTGCAAAAAACCCTGTACAGTACAGTAAATACAGTGTACTCACCCAGAGCAGGCAGCCTCTCTGTTTTAAAAAAGAAAGTAAAAAATAAAAAAATAAAAAAATTAAAAAGCAAAAAAAAGTCTGTACAGTACAGTACCAGGCAATACCAGGCAGTCTGAAGTCTCTTTCCGTATCCACACACTCTGACCGCTGGGGCGAGCAAGGTAGCAGACAAGCAGCTTCTTTGCTAGCCAACGGTTAACTGAAAGTTCACATTTCCCGCCTTCCCCGCAGGTTATTTGTCTGTTCGTAAGTAGAAACTCCATTCGCAAGTAGAAGCAAAATTTTGCGAATGGAGCTGTTCGTATGTTGAAATGTTTGTAGGTAGGGACGTTTGTAAGTAGAGGTTCCACTGTAATACCTTTCTGCAAGGCCTTCTGTTTTCCATAGTTTATTTATTCTAATTTTGGCAGCCATGGGACACTGAAGTGTTGTGCTATTCCCTCTTCCCACTGGTTATCTTATTCTGGCTTCTGAGATTTCAGCACATATTGGCCACACATATTTTAGACTTAGCTCTATTTTTACATGTTAACTGGGCTGATACCTCCCAGCGTTGAGCTATTGGTAGATGGAATCACATATCGTGCCTTCATCCGCAGAATTGCATTTAATGCAATTCCTTCATGTGAGGAATTGCATTAAAACAGGACATATGATTCAAATAGCTTTGCTCCTCTTTGCAGATAACCCACAATTAAAAAACAACTTAATGCAGGTTATATACAAATGTGTGGTTCCTGCCTTGGTCATGCTGGGATGGAATGATGGGCATGACTACTCAATTTTGAGGGGTTTTTTAATTGCTATTTCCAAAAGGTTTATCATACATTCAGAAGTAATGTAACCCCTTCCTAGTTTGCTTTGACCCTTATTTACAGGATTCAATGTGGTGGTGCTGCGGGTTAAACCGCAGAAGCCTCTGTGCTGCAGGGTCAGAAGACCAGCAATCGTAAGATCGAATCTATGCAACAGAGCGAGCTCCCGTCACTTTATCCCAGCTCCTCACCAACCTAGCAGTTCGAAAGCATGTAAATACGAGTAGATAAATAGGTACCATCTCGGTGGGAAGGTAAAACGGCGTTCCCTAGCCACGCTGGCCACGGGACAACAGAAACTGTCTTTGGACAAGCGCTGGCTCTACGGCTTGAAAACGGGATGAGCACCGCCCCCTAGAGTCGGACATGACTGGACTAAAAATGTCAAGGGGAACCTTTACCTTTACCTTATTTGCTGGCTCAAATGCCACTTAATCAGTGGAGCAGCCAAGGTGATCCATTGAAACGAACAAATGTTCACTGTTGCTGCATTCTTGGCAGTTGTGCATTTTTAAAAGTTCCTCCAATAAGCTCACATTGGATAATACAGATATCCAACCAAGTAGTAAGCAAGGACCACATTACCAAGCAAACCATTTTACTAATAGCATTACTCCAAGGGGCAGGAAACACTTTATCTTGAGTTGTATGTGTGACAGAATGATACAAAAGCATAGAAAAAAACACACTACTATAGTACAAGTTGTTGCCACATGTCTGCTGTCCTTTCTCTTCCTCAAAGATTGCTTCTCCAGCAGCTGGCAGTAGTGGTGGACAAGGAGCACACTGGAGGCAGCAAGGGTCGCCCCAGCCAATGAGGATGCTGTCGCCATGCTCCTCAGCTGCTGTCGTCCAGCTGCCTGCCAGACAAGCATGCCCTGCAATGGAGGAAGGGCTCTCTTGCCCAGCCAGCCATAGAGGAAGCTCTGCTGAAATTTAAAATAGTGAGCATTGCCCACCATTTTAAAGCACAGTAGGGTTTGCATCATGTGAAGCGATACAAGTTCCTTAGTTTTCCACCCAGTCTATACCAGGCATGTTGTTGCAGCCCAAGAAAACAAGGTTCAACTGTTTGTCAACTATTAAGAGTCACCAGGAGCATGGAGCACATGTAATCTCCAGCCAGAAATCATATGGGAGAATCTCTCCCCTTTGTTGCTCCTTTCATCAGCTAATATGAGCAAATGGCTACCAGTGAGATAGCTGAAAGAAGATGCTATGCTGATGGACAGTGTTACTATGAGTGCAAAACCTCTCCACTGTCTGAGACTGGACATTCGGGCACTCCGTAGGGACACATCATAAAGAGATAATGCCTTTTTTATTCTCCCTTGGAAGACATTACCAGATTTGCTAACAAGGGGCAACATTACTCCAGACCTTTCTTTCCACTAAACCAGGAGACAAAGGAAGCGCGCATGCACGCACGCGCACACACACCTTTTGCATGTACGTGCACCAGAAAGCACCTTCTGGATTAGGAAACCCAAATCTAATCCGATCACCTAGTGGCCAAGATGAGCTTCTCTTGTCTGTCAGTCAATAGACATCCTGAGGGCAACTTCTGGGAGACTTTTCTCATCTCCCTGCACCTTGCCTGCAGCAACCTTCCTGAAAGAAAACACCTGCCCACAAAATGGCAGTTCACAATCCCAGAAGTGAGGTGCCATGGTTATGTAACTTCATCCCTGCTAGGTCTATTTTAGACTAAAAAGTTCTTTTTGGAACGGGAAGTGGCTGGCCATCAGGGCCCCTTTCATCGAGACCTTACTGTTCACCAATGTGCCAATCTTATGAGAACATAATTGCAAGGGGTTTTGCATCACAGAATAGCCTGTTTACAATATTATTAATGGTTTACTGACACTCATCTCAGTAACGAAAACAGCCAACAGCTATATTTTCTTCTTCCTTACAGGTCAAAGAGGAACTTTAACAGGAAGAAAGGTATCTGTGGTTGGAAATATTTGCTTGTCTTGAATTCATTTGACATCAGAGAATAATAAAAAGTTGTGTGTGTAGTAGACTGAATGCTTTCTCTTGTGCAGTATTATTATAACATTGTTTTTATAATTTTTTTAAAAAAAATAAATATTCTTTCCATAAAATGATGTGTATTTTTATTTAATTATAAGCTTTTATTTTTAATCTCTGAACAACAAAGTATCCTAGCTTGCCAACTCTACTGATCTGTATCTGTAGTCACGTTTTCAGTGATATCTGTGCCACTGCTATAAGTATAAAACAACGAAGGCTTTTTCAGTCATTATATTTGGGAACTCACGATACTTGGGATCTTGCATAACCCATGCCCTTACTAACATCAGAAATAAATAAAAAATGACACAAAGGGTGTCATGCTTAAAACTGTATCCCCATAAGGAAAAAAATGGATCATGAGGGTGATCCTACATTCAGATATACATAGCACAGCTCAGGTTATATTTTCTATTTATGTTAAAAGGAATATAGACACATGTGCAAGTCTCAAACTACCCTGAATTCTTTAAGTTAATGAACAGCTTTTAGTTAATTTGTTCCTGTTATTTGATCAAAGTTATTACATCTTGGGCCTAGCTAGGTCATTTCCCCTAGTACTTGGTCAATTCAGAAACTATGCAAAAATAGGTGCTGATGAAATTAATGATAGTTTCTGTGTAAGCTTTGAAGACTTGCTGTTCACACCTTTTCCCTGACTCAGGCAACCAAGAATCTAATACAGTTTGATCTGTTGAAAGAAACCTCCTCCAATACTTCAGATCACTATTTAGGCATGCAGAAAGACAAGACCACCTCTAAAGTGGTTTTCACTTTAGACGGTTAAATGCTGGTGAACCTTATTTCCTCGGAAGTCTTAATCAATATGCCAAATGGCCAGGAATCCTAAGACCTGTAGTCCGACAACATCTGGTGTCCTAAGGAATGGAACTTGGGACCAATGTTTTTGAACTGATGGTACTTATTGCAGATAGTATGATGAGCAAAAGCTGGAAAACACTAGAAAGGAAAATGTCATCCTCCCATTGTACTCTCTCCAGCCAAACCAAGAGAGGAAGGGAGTGTCTGAAAGCAAACTGCTCAGCTGGAGAGGTGGAAGGCAAGCATATCACCCACTTAAAACAGCAGGCTTTACAGGCAGATCACAGCAGGTTGCTATTGATGGAATAGTCCCATAAACTAGTCCACTAACCTGTAAAGAGAACTGAGAGGAAGATGCATGGGATGCAACACTTTAATTTCTAATAACCTACTGCAACATTTACAGTAGATAGCAGGGAAAAAGAAATCTAGTTGGAAGCCTTTTAGATAAAGAACTGTTAAAGTAGCTGGCCACAGTGTGATTAAATTGTGCCAGCTCTTTTCAAGCAGGCTAGTTAACAGGGTTTATTATAAGCCTGCTTAATTCAGCATTTTCCCTATAAGTTCTTTTGTTTGTAACAGCTGTTCACAGAGAGCCTTTGTAAAAAATGGACTGCGGCCAAGCAGATTATCAACTACCACTGAAATACTGAGAGGGCTAGTAACATCCTCCTTTTTTGTACTTTTGCTAAACATTTACATTAAACTCTTATCTCGCCTTTCCCCTTATTTTAAATTCTTCTTTGTGCCTCTGGTCTTCCCTTGTACAGTATAGAATATATACTGTTGCAGGTTATGTTTTGCTGAAAAAAGAACAAGAGTCTTGCACCCTGCTTGAGGAAAAACAATTCTCCTGATAATCTAGCTTTTGTTTAATATACTTTGGCTATAATCCTGTTGCAGATGTAAAAGCTGGTAACACCATCAGCTGCGGATGTTAATTTTTAATGTACATTTTTTTCCTGACTCCCACCCTGAGGTTCCAAAGCTCCTTGATATCCCCTTTGACTTGGGGAAGCCTTTAGGAGCCTGCAAATGGCAGGAGAAGCCTTTCTTATCCAAAAACTGATGCTGGTGGTGGTAGGAGCTTTGGATACTGAAGGAGCCCCCCCCCAAGACTCCCAAAGTCTTAAAGATTCACATCTGTGGCTGATCATGTCATTAGCCTGACCATTGCATAGCTCTGCCAACAGGAGTCCAGCCAATAAATGCTTTTCAACATTTCAACCTTTCTCTGGATGACATTGACATATATGGGAAATGTATCACACTAAGGTGTCTCAGCTGAACACCAAGCATGTTTCATTACAGTAGCTATGATGATGAAGTTATTCTTTGTACTTGTTAATTTTTCAAAGAAAATTACAGTATGATGGAAGAAGAGTGACATAGGTTGCAATCATATGGTGATTTAGCTCACTTGGTGGATTGCCTATAACATGGGCTGGTTCACTCTTATTTTCCAGTGACCAGATGACATTTGTGAAATCACAACACCATGCCCAGTTTGGGGCCTTTTTGGTTCAGCAGCAGGGGTACTCTTTTTTGGTCCTCTGCTGGAGGGATCCAGACTGCATCACCTGCACTCAGAATTGCTTTAAAGGGTCACTTTAAAGATCCCACGCAGTGGTGACCCTTTCCAGCCTGATCCAATACTGCTGTCTGATCACCCATATACAAACAAATGAAGACCAGAGTCCGTAATGAAGAGTAACTTAGTCATGAAAAGCAGAGAAGCTGACTAATAACAAAAGCTTCTTCCATTCCTATTTCCTACATGCTAATATACTTAATTATTTCAACTCATGAAAATTTTACACATAGGGTGAGTTTTTTAATCAAAACAGTTAGCATGAACACCATTCATCTCTCAGAAGTACTATCACATCGTTGTGTGGCCAACATCCTGTTCAGCAGTAGCAGAGCTGAAACTCCTCAAGTGTTGCAACAGGGAAACTCCCTTCTTGCCATTGAGCAAGTGGAGACTGTCTGTCTTGAGTAACGCCCAGTGAGGTACTGAATGCCTCTTATCCGAGTAGCACATATTTGAACCACTTGAATTACAGCATGTTGCGCAAGTGGTGTAAGTGAAAAGTATCCTGGCCCCTTCATGGACTGTTGCCTTGCCGTGATGAAGGGGCTTGAGTAACTCAGAGAAGCTATGGGCTATGGTGTGCAGGGACACCCAAGACGGACGGGTCATAGTGGAGAGTTCCGACTAAACGCAATCCACCTGGAGTACAAATTGGCAATGCCACTCCAGTATCTTTGCCAAGAACGCCCCATGATCAGAAACAAAAGGATAAAATATATGACGCTGGAAGATGGGCCCCTCAGGTCGGAAGACGTCCAACATGCTACTGAGGAAGAGCGGAGGACAAGTACAAGTAGCTCCTGAGCTAATGAAGTGGTTGGGCCAAAGCCAAAAGGACGCTCAGCTGTGGACGTGCCTGGAAGTGAAAGGAAAGTCCAATGCTGCAAAGAAAAATACTGCATAGGAACCTGGAATGTAAGATCTATGAACCTTGGGAAGCTGGAGGTGGTCAAACAGGAGATGGCAAGAATAAACAT